ATTTCTGCCTGGATCCCGGGGAAAATCCGAATTTCTGCTTGGATCCCAGGGGAAAATGGGGAATAAATCAAATTTCTGGCTGGATTCCAGGGGGAAAAATGGGGAAAAATTCAAATTTCTGCCTGGATTCCAGGGAAAAAATGGGAAATAATTCAAATTTCTGCCCTGGATCCCAGAGGGAAAAATCCAAATTTCTGCCCTGGATTCCAGAGGGAAAAATCTAAATTTCTGCCTGGATTCCAGGGGAAAAATGGGAAATAATTCAAATTTCTGCCCTGGATCCCAGAGGGAAAAATCCAAATTTCTGCCCTGGATTCCAGAGGGAAAAATCTAAATTTCTGCCTGGATTCCAGGGGAAAAATGGGAAATAAATTCAAATTTCTGCCCTGGAATCCAGAGGAAAAATCAAGGAAAAAATCCAAATTTCTGCCCTGGATTCTAGAGGAAAAATGGGGAAAAATCCAAATTTCTGCCCTGGATCCCAGGGGGAAAAATGGGAAATAATCCAAATTTCTGCCTGGATTCCAGAGGAATTGATGCTTTCAGATTATTATTTCAATTTTAAGGAGTATTTAAAGGTTTGGGATTGTTTAAATTGCTGGTTTTACTGAAAAAGTCTGAAATTCCTGAAATTCCCACTGAAAATCTGAAATTCTTCATTAAATTCTGAAATTCTTTGTAAAAATTCCTATTGAAATGTTGAATTTTTCACTGAAATTCCCACTGAAACTCTGAAATTCCTGTTCACATCAGGAGTGAAATTCTCACCGAAATTCCTGTTGGAATTAGGGATGAAATTCTTCATTAAATTCTGAAATTCTTGGTGAAATTCTCACCGAAATTCCCTGTAAAATTCCTAGTGAAATTTTGAATTTCTCACTGAAATTATTCCCATTTTGGGAATTTTTAAATTCATTTTTTAACTTTATTTTTCACTCTTTCTTTCCCTTTTTTTTACTGGATTTTTCAGCTGGATTCCCTCAGAAACTCTACCTGAAAAATTCCCATTTTGGGAATTTTTAAATTCATTTTTTAACTTTATTTTTCACTCTTTCTTTCCCTTTTTTTTACTGGATTTTTCAGCTGGATTCCCTCAGAAACTCTACCTGAAAAATTCCCATTTTGGGAATTTTTAAATTCATTTTTTAACTTTATTTTTCACTTTTTCTTTCCTGGATTTTCAGCTGGATTCCCTCAGAAACTCTACCTGAAAAATTCCCATTTTGGGAATTTTCAAATTCATTTTTTAACTTTATTTTTAATTTTTTTCCTGGATTTTCAGCTGGATTCCCTCATAAACTCTACCTGGAAAATTCCCATTTTGGGAATTTTTAAATTCATTTTTTAACTTTATTTTTCACTTTTTCTTTCCTGGATTTTCAGCTGGATTCCCTCATAAACTCTACCTGAAAAATTCCCATTTTGGGAATTTTCAAATTCATTTTTTAACTTTATTTTTAATTTTTTTCCTGGATTTTCAGCTGGATTCCCTGCAGCACGTCCTGCAGCAGCCGGGGAGGTTCGAGCCCCTCGTGGGGAGCCCTTTGTACTCCACGCCGCGCCTCGAGGTCAGCTGGGGTTTCATTCCTAAATATTCTCAATAAATTGCATTTTTTTTTACATGTATTTTAATTTATTTTTATTTTTAATTTAATTTTTTGACAATTTTTATTTTTAATTTTTTTATTTCTCCCATAGTGGCTGATGTTGGGATGGGGGGAAAAACGGAATTTGTTGATCAACTTTCAAATCTTTAAAGCTTTTAGCATATGTACTATTATTTTATATTTAATTTATAATTCTAATATATATAAACATAGATTTATATAAAAATTATTAGATTAATCTTTATATAAATTAGTTAACAATTTATATATGTTGTATATTTTTATTATAGTAATAATTATGATATTTATAAATTTATTTTTAAATTCACATATAATATATAAGTATGTTATATATTTTAGTTTATATTACGAATAGCTATTATTATTGCTATTAATATACATTAAATGAAGTATATAAATTTAGATTTAAATGTATAAGTTACAGACATATACTTAATATTTTTAAAGGTAAAAATATAATATATTTATATTTTATTTCTAAAAATAATATATATTAATAAAAATTTGTATTGACATGATAAATTAATATTAAACACTAAATAAAAGTATACATTTATCTTATTAAATTTATATAAATGTATATATTAAAATTATATGGAAACTAGAATTCTTTATTAAATATATTAATACATTATTATTATAATATACTAATTTATATTATATTTACATAAAATTATAAATATCCACACACATAAATATACAAAAGGAAAAATAATATTTTTTTGGGATATCAACACTGCTCTTTCCTTTTAAAACCACCCTCACCTCCAAACACACCGTGCCCTATAATGCCATCTACAGGTAATTTCTTGATGATTTAATGCCAATTAATAGGAATTAATGACATTTTCTGTCCCCTCAGGCCAATGGCAGCTGGCAGGACGCAGCCACCCCCTCGTCCATCACCTCCCCCGCTGCCGACCCGGGCAGCGACGCCTCCAATTAAAGATTTCTTAATGAAAAGGACCTTTTTGAGAGGAGAGAGGTCAATTAACGTTAATTAATCACGGGCCGATCGAATGACTGACTCGCAATGAATTAATTACCTCAGAACAAGCCAATAGATTGTGATGGCAGCGACACCTCTACCTCTCAGCGCCGACTCGGGATTATTTATAACTTCACTTCGCCTCAGAAAATGCAGTTTTTTTAAGGAAGAAAACTTGGATTTTACACCAAGAACCTGATGAAGAAGGAAAAAAAAAAGTCTTGGTGTTTGTCTCCAGTTTTACAGCGGAAAAAAATGGATTTATTTTCGTTTCCGTGTGGTTTTTTACTCTGGGATTTCTGTTCTAGATGAATTAAACCCCTCCCTACTGTAATTGGATGTTCTCTGTATTGGAATTTTCTATAGGGAATTCCATAGGAAATTTCTGTAGGAAATTTTTCTTAATTAATTTAGCTAATTCATGGGAAAGTTGCTTTACCAAACTTCTCGCCGGACATCGCTCGCAGGCCGGACCTTCCATTGGTGTCATTCCAAGGGATTTCGTATCGGGAAATTCCATGGCTTCACTTTTTCTGGTGAAAAAGTACAAAAATAAAATTAAAAACTCCAAATTTACCACAAAACAGCCGAATCACGGGATTTCCCCATGGGAATTCGAGGGGGTTTGTGCCGTTCTGGTGCTGTTCTCAGAGTCCGCCCTTTTCAGTTGAGACTTTATCAAAGAAAATAAATTTCCAAAGCCTTTTTTTTTTCCTTTTTTCCCCCCACTTTCTCCTGATTTTTTTTCTCTGAGGTTTGGGCTCAGCGAGGACCGTGAGGTGTGGGAAAAGGGCGGGAAGATCGTGAGGGGTGGGAAAAGGGCGGGAAGATCGTGAGGGGAGGGAAAAGGGCGCGAATGGCGTGAGGGGAAGGTACAGAGTGAGAGTTGAGACACGGTGGGAGCAGCGTGAGGAGCGCGAAAGGCGGGAAGAGGGCGAAGGATGGAAGAAGGGTACAACGTGAGGGGTGGGAAGGGTGGAGCGGACTCCGTGCCCGCTGTGAGGGCAGGCACCGCCCCGCGCCTGCTCCGTGATGGCGGCGAAGCCGGAGCCGGTTTCGCGCATGCGCAAGACGCTGAGGGCAAGCGAGCGGCGGGAAACCGCCATGGCGGAGGCGGCGGTGGGACCCGGCGGCTCCCCCGGCCCGGCCGCTGCCCCGTCCCCGCGGGGCTCGGCCGGGCAACAAGAGGACGAGGTGAGCGCCGGAAGGTCTTAGCCCGGCCGGGGGAGCCGCGGGGTGGCCGCGGTTCCAGGCGGGTAACGGTTTTTCCCCTCAGCGATGCCCCGGCGGACCCAGCTCTGAGAGCGGAGGGGCCGCGCCAGGTAAGGGCAGGGAAGGAAATCGCTGCTCTGTGTGGAGGGAGGAGCTGCTTTGGGTGATTTTGGGGCTTGGGAGGTGGCGAGCCGGAAAGTTGGATTTGGGGGAATTTTGGGCTTTCTCCAGCCTCGAAAATTCCAGGATTTGGGGGCAACTTTGGTATTTTAAGGCCCTGGAAGTGCCCAAAAATTCCAGCATTTTCAGGAGCTGCTCCATCCCTGGAAACCCCAAAAACTCCAGGATCTGGCTAAACTCCCGCTTAAAAATAAAGCCACAAAAGCCACGTTCAGCGCTCTGAAATCCTTGATAAAACCATTTCCTCTCATGGAACCAAGAAATCCCGAGCGGACAGCGCAGCCCCGGGCATCACCGAGTCTCTTTTTCCCTTTTTTTTGCGCTGATTTCGCCGCTTTTCCCCTCAGACTCGGACTCGGCAGCGGATGCTGAGGAGTAGTTTTATAACCATTTTATTCCTACTAAACTTTTCAAACCCAGTTTTTTCGCAACCATTTCCTCTCATGGATCAAGAAACCGCGAGCAGCCTGAGCACCACCGAGTCTCTTTTTCCCTTTTTTTGCGCTGATTTCTCCTCTTTTCCCCTCAGACCCGGACTCGGCAGCGGATGCTGAGGAGTATTTTTAAGACCATTTTATTCTTATTAACCGCGAGCAGCCCGGGCACCACCGAGTCTCTTTTTCCCTTTTTTTTTCTCCTCTTTTCCCCTCACAACTGGACTCGGCAACGGATGCTGAGGAGTAGTTTCAAGACCATTTTATTCCTATTAAACCTTAAAAAGAAGTTTTTCACAACCATTTCCTCTCATGAAACTAAGAAATCCGAAGCAGGCAGCACAGCCCGGGCATCACCGAGTCTCTTTTTCCCTTTTTTGCGCTGATTTCGAAATCCCGAGCGGACAGCACAGCCTGAGCATCACCGAGTCTCTTTTTCCCTTTTTTTGCGCTGATTTCGCCGCTTTTCCCCTCAGACCCGGACTCGGCAGCGGATGCTGAGGAGTAGTTTTATAACCATTTTATTCCTATTAAACCTTAAAAAGAAGTTTTTCACAACCATTTCCTCTCATGGATCGAGAAACCGCGAGCAGCCTGAGCACCACCGAGTCTCTTTTTCCCTTTTTTTGCGCTGATTTCGCCGCTTTTCCCCTCAGACCCGGACTCGGCAGCGGATGCTGAGGAGTAGTTTCCAGACCATTTTATTCCTATTAAACCTTAAAAAGAAGTTTTTCACAACCATTTCCTCTCGTGAAACTAAGAAATCCGAAGCAGGCAGCGCAGCCCGGGCACCACCGAGTCTCTTTTTCCCTTTTTTTGCGCTGATTTCGCCGCTTTTCCCCTCAGACCCGGACTCGGCAGCAGATGCTGAGGAGGAGTTTTAAGACCATTTTATTCCTATTAAACTTTCAAAACACAGTTTTTTCACAACCATTTCCTCTCATGGATCAAGAAACCGCGAGCATCCCGGGCACCACCGAGTCTCTTTTTCCCTTTTTTTGCGCTGATTTCTCCTCTTTTCCCCTCAGACCCGGACTCGGCAGCCGGAGCAGCGCACGCTGGGGCGCCTTTGACACCTCTGGCCAAGAAGGGCACGCCGAGCTCGTCGGGCAGGAAGAGAAGAGCCGCGGGCAGCCCCTGGAAGGAGCCGCCGCTCGAGTCCTTCCGACTGTCGCCGCTCGTCGCCAGCCCTCAGGACCAGCGCCGCTCCTGGCGCCGCTCCAGCCTCAAGGGCCGCCGCTCCCGCCGCAAATCGCTGCCCCCCGTGCACCAGGAGCTCCGCGGTGAGTGCTCCATTAGCGCCTAATTGCCGTGCCTTTAATTAAAATCCATCTCGGGGGTGGGCGGCGGGGCGTTGAGGAGAGCTGGAGGCGCTGCGCTGAGGCGTCTGTCAGTGAGGGTTTTGAAGTTTCTGTCTTTCTTCCCCTTTTGGCACTTCTTTTTTTTTTCCAGTTTTTGTCCTTAAATGGGATTTTTCCTCTTTCTTTTCCCATTTCCCACCCCGAAAATGTGGTTTTTCCTCTTTATTTTATTTCCGCCCCAAATGGGATTTTTCCTTTTCCCATTTCTTCCCTTAAATGGGATTTTTCCTTTTCCCATTTCCTCCCTTAAATGGGATTTTTCCTCTTTCTTTTCCCATTTCCACCCCAAATGTGATTTTTCTTTTTCCCATTTCCCCCCCAAATGTGATTTTTCCTTTTCCCATTTCCTCCCTTAAATGGGATTTTTCCTCTTTCTTTTCCTGATTTCCCCCCCATTGTGACTTTTCCTCTTTCTTTTCCCATTTTTTCCCTTAAATGTGATTATTTTTCCTCTTCTTTTTCCTGATTTTTCCCCTTCAATTGGAGTTTTTCTTATTTTCCCCATTCTTGATCCTTAAATGTGACTTTGCCCCTTTCTTCTTCCCATTTCCCCCTCTTGGTCCTTAAATGTGACTTTCCCTCATAATTTTTCCCATTTTTCACCCTTAAATGGGATTTTTTTTCCTATTTCCCCCCATTTTTGATCCCTGTTAATTTTTTCTCTCCATTTTTCCCCATTTTTCACCCTTAAATTTGATTTTTTCCTCATTTCCCCCACCCCGATCAATCCTTAAATGTGACTTTTCCTCTTCCTTTTTCCAATTTTCTCTATTCTTGTCCCTTAAATGGGATTTTTTTTTTCGATTTTACCCAATTCTTGACCTTAAATTTGATTTTTCCCCCATTTTCCCCCACTTTTGTGCCTTTTTCTCTCTATTTTTTCCCCATTTTCCCCATTAAATTCGATTTTTCCTCTTCCTTTCCCCCATTTTCCTCCTTAAATTTGAGTTTTCCTCCTTTTTTTCCTGCTTTTCCCACACCCTGCCCTGCCCCAGCTGCTTTTGGGGGAATTCTGGTTGAAATTCCAGCTGATTTTTTTGGGAATTTCACCATTTTTAACCCCTTTTTTCCCAGATTTGAGCAAATCCATCAGCCTGGATCTTCCTGAAGTCCAACGTCTCTCCCTCCTCCTCCTCTCCAGCTTCCAGGTAAATTCACCCAAAATTCTGGATTTTTTTGCTCCTTCCAGGGCTTGAGCAGCTCCTGAAAAATCCTAAAATTAACCAAAATCCTGGAATTTTTCGGCGTTTCCAGGGATGGAGCAACTCCTGAGAATCATAAAATTCACAAAAATCATGGAATTACCTCAGAAATCCTGGAATTTACCCAAATCCTGGGATTTTGGTACACTTCCAGGGCTGGAGCACCTCCTGAAAATGTTAAAATCCTCCAAAATTCTGGAATTTACCAAAATCCTGGAATTTTCCTCCCAAAAAATCCTTTCCCATACTCCTCACACACACGAAAAAAAGGAGTTTGGGCTCCAAATCTTTGTTTTAACCCTCAGAAAATTGGGATAAAAGCCCATTTTTCCTGTTTTTTGTTGGATAATTCCTATTTTTTGTTGGATTTTTCCCATTTTTTGTTGAATTTTCCCCATTTCTCCCCAGTTTTCTGCCCGGAAGTTGCAGCAGGTCCTGGAGCAATCCGAGGGATTCGAGATTTTTCCCCCCATTGTGATTTTTCCTCTTTCTTTTCCCATTTTTTTCCCTCAAGTGTGATTATTTTTCCTCTTCTTTTTCCTGATTTTTCCCCTTCAATTGGAGTTTTTCTTATTTTCCCCATTCTTGATCCTTAAATGTGACTTTGCCCCTTTCTTCTTCCCATTTCCCCCTCTTGGTCCTTAAATGTGACTTTCCCTCATAATTTTTCCCATTTTTCACCCTTAAATGGGATTTTTTTTCCTATTTCCCCCCATTTTTGATCCCTGTTAATTTTTTCTCTCCATTTTTCCCCATTTTTCACCCTTAAATTTGATTTTTTCCTCATTTCCCCCACCCCGATCAATCCTTAAATGTGACTTTTCCTCTTCCTTTTTCCAATTTTCTCTATTCTTGTCCCTTAAATGGGATTTTTTTTTTCGATTTTACCCAATTCTTGACCTTAAATTTGATTTTTCCCCCATTTTCCCCCACTTTTGTGCCTTTTTCTCTCTATTTTTCCCCATTTTCCCCATTAAATTCGATTTTTCCTCTTCCTTTCCCCCATTTTCCTCCTTAAATTTGAGTTTTCCTCCTTTTTTTCCTGCTTTTCCCACACCCTGCCCTGCCCCAGCTGCTTTTGGGGGAATTCTGGTTGAAATTCCAGCTGATTTTTTTGGGAATTTCACCATTTTTAACCCCTTTTTTCCCAGATTTGAGCAAATCCATCAGCCTGGATCTTCCTGAAGTCCAACGTCTCTCCCTCCTCCTCCTCTCCAGCTTCCAGGTAAATTCACCCAAAATTCTGGATTTTTTTGCTCCTTCCAGGGCTTGAGCAGCTCCTGAAAAATCCTAAAATTAACCAAAATCCTGGAATTTTTCGGCGTTTCCAGGGATGGAGCAACTCCTGAGAATCATAAAATTCACAAAAATCATGGAATTACCTCAGAAATCCTGGAATTTACCCAAATCCTGGGATTTTGGTACACTTCCAGGGCTGGAGCACCTCCTGAAAATGTTAAAATCCTCCAAAATTCTGGAATTTACCAAAATCCTGGAATTTTCCTCCCAAAAAATCCTTTCCCATACTCCTCACACACACGAAAAAAAGGAGTTTGGGCTCCAAATCTTTGTTTTAACCCTCAGAAAATTGGGATAAAAGCCCATTTTTCCTGTTTTTTGTTGGATAATTCCTATTTTTTGTTGGATTTTTCCCATTTTTTGTTGAATTTTCCCCATTTCTCCCCAGTTTTCTGCCCGGAAGTTGCAGCAGGTCCTGGAGCAATCCGAGGGATTCGACCCCGAGGCTTTCGCTGCCAAAGGTTGGGATTGGAGCCTCCAAAACCCCCAAATTTGGGATTTTTCCCCTCAAAATCCCAAATTTCCGACTCCCCAAATGGGCGGAGACCCCAAAAATTCGGGATTTTTGGGATAAAAGCAGCGGAATTAATTAAGAATTAATTTATAATTAATTCCGAGGGGGTCAAAAAAGGTCCTGAGGGGTTCCTGGGCCCCCCTTCAATTGGAGACTTTCTTATTTTCCCCATTCTTGATCCTTAAGTGAGACTTTCCCCTCTCTTTTTCCCATTTTCCCCCCTTTTTTATTCTTTAAATGTGACTTTCCCTCATAATTTTTCCCATTTTTCACCCTTAAATGGGATTTTTTTCCTATTTCCCCCCATTTTTGATCCCTGTTAATTTTTTCTCTCCATTTTTCCCCATTTTTCACCCTTAAATTTGATTTTTTCCTCATTTCCCCCACCCCGATCAATCCTTAAATGTGACTTTTCCTCTTCCTTTTTCCAATTTTCTCTATTCTTGTCCCTTAAATGGGATTTTTTTTTTCGATTTTACCCAATTCTTCACCTTAAATTTGATTTTTCCCCCATTTTCCCCCACTTTTGTGCCTTTTTCTCTCTATTTTTTCCCCATTTTCCCCATTAAATTCGATTTTTCCTCTTCCTTTCCCCCATTTTCCTCCTTAAATTTGAGTTTTCTTCCTTTTTTTCCTGCTTTTCCCACACCCTGCCCTGCCCCAGCTGCTTTTGGGGGAATTCTGGTTGAAATTCCAGCTGATTTTTTTGGGAATTTCACCATTTTTAACCCCTTTTTTCCCAGATTTGAGCAAATCCATCAGCCTGGATCTTCCTGAAGTCCAACGTCTCTCCCTCCTCCTCCTCTCCAGCTTCCAGGTAAATTCACCAAAATTCTGGAATTTTTTTGGCATTTCCAGGGATGGAGCAACTCCTGAGAATCATAAAATTCACAAAAATCATGGAATTACCTCAAAAATCCTGGAATTTACCCAAATCCTGGGATTTTGGTACACTTCCAGGGCTGGAGCACCTCCTGAAAATGTTAAAATCCTCCAAAATTCTGGAATTTACCAAAATCCTGGAATTTTCCTCCCAAAAAATCCTTTCCCATACTCCTCACACACACGAAAAAAAGGAGTTTGGGCTCCAAATCTTTGTTTTAACCCTCAGAAAATTGGGATAAAAGCCCATTTTTCCTGTTTTTTGTTGGATAATTCCTATTTTTTGTTGGATTTTTCCCATTTTTTGTTGAATTTTCCCCATTTCTCCCCAGTTTTCTGCCCGGAAGTTGCAGCAGGTCCTGGAGCAATCCGAGGGATTCGACCCCGAGGCTTTCGCTGCCAAAGGTTGGGATTGGAGCCTCCAAAACCCCCAAATTTGGGATTTTTCCCCTCAAAATCCCAAATTTCCGACTCCCCAAATGGGCGGAGACCCCAAAAATTCGGGATTTTTGGGATAAAAGCAGCGGAATTAATTAAGAATTAATTTATAATTAATTCCGAGGGGGTCAAAAAAGGTCCTGAGGGGTTCCTGGGTCTTCCTGATTGCTCAAAAATTCAGGAATTTGATTTAAAAAAACACAGGAATATGAATAAAATAGAAGTTAATGAATATGTTAGTTGGTAATTAATGAATAGTTAATTAATAATTACCAGTAATTGATTGGGGGAGGGTCAGAGCAGCTCCTGGGGGCTCCTGATTGCCAAAAAAATTGGGAATTTTGGTTAAAAAAAAAGACAGGGACATGAGAAAAAAAATTGAGTTAATTATTAATTAATTGATAATTAATCAATAATTAATTGGGGTGGGTCAAAAGAGGTCCTGAGGGATTCCTGGGTCTTCCTGCTTCCTCAAAAATTCAGGAATTTGGGTAAAAAAATAATCAGGAAAACGACCTTCAATCCCTGAATCCCACAAAAAATAATCAATTCATAAACAATTAATTAATAATTAGTAACTCATTAATGCCAGGGTGGTTTTTAATGATTTTTTTCCCATTTTTTCCCAGTCCAGAAGGGCTCTGAGGAATTCCAGAGGCTCCTGCAGAGGCTGCTCCACGATGGGACCCTCAGGAAGTGCCTGGAGCCCAGCCCAGGGTGAGGGTTTGGGGCAAAAACCCCAAAATTTGGGAATTTCCAGCCTGGGAGGGGCCAAAATCCATGGAAATGCAAAAAAAAATTGGGAATTTCCAACCTGGGAAGGGGAAAAATCCCATGAAAATCCCCAAAAAACTTTGATTTGGGGGGAATTTTGGGCTTTTCCAGCCTTGAAGATTCTGGGATTTTGGGACAGCTTTGGATTTCACCGAAATTCCAGGATTTCGGGTGAATTCCAGCATTTTTTTT